AAGGGAGTGAGAGGAGCAGGCCCGACTACAGAGCTGCAGCCCCATCAACATGCATCCAAGGGTCACCATTTCAGCAGATCCAAAGCAGAATTGGATACCACTTCTCCCTTTGCAGGACTGTCTGGGCTGGAACCACTAGGCCTTGCTTAAGCTGCTGGGGAGAGTGGAGGGGGTGACTTGTCCTGGATGGGTGCCCCAAAGTCCTCTTCTGCCCAGGCTCGCCTAACACCCTCTGGGAGCTGATACTTCAGGTCAAGCTCCACATGGTTCTAAAAGCAGATAGTGTTCCCCCTCCAGCTACACCAAGGCTAGGAGAAGTCAGAGGACAATGCCTTTTATTATATCTGTAAACACAGACCCTCCTGACCTGCATCTGTGGTGCCTCATGGTTCCTCTCTGATCATGAATAACGTTGACTACTCACAACCTGTTAAGAACTTACCAGCCAGGCGTGGTGGCTCACACCTATAATCCCAGCACTTTGGGAGGCCAAGGTGAGAGTATTGCCTGAGTCCACGGGTTTCGAGACCAGCCTGGGCAATTTGGCAAGACCTCATCTCTACAATAAATCAAAAAAAATAGCTGGGTGTGATGGCATGTGCCTGTAGTTCTAGCTACTTGGAAGGCTGATGTGGAAGAATCACCTGAGCCCAGCAGGTTGAGGCTGCAGTGGCTGTGAGCATGCCGCATGCCACTGCACTCCAGCCCGGGCAATAGAATGAGACACCAACTCAAAAAAAAAACCCAAAAAAAAAAACCATGGTAGCGCATGCCTATAATTCTGGCTACTTGGAAGGCTGAGGCGGAAGGATCACCAGAGCCCAGCAGGTGGAGGCTGCGGTGGCCGGGAGCGGCCACTGCACTCCAGTCTGGGTGACAGAGTGAGACTCTAACTCAAAAAGAAAAAGAGAAAAAGAACTTACCATGGCCAGTAGCTCATGCCTATAATCCCAGCACTCTGGAAGGCCAAGGTGAGAGGATTGCCTGAGCCCACAGGTTCGAGACCAGCCTGGGCAACTTGGC